GGAATTATTCATGACACCAACACTGTATTGAGCAGATGTCAGAGAAATGGGAGGAAATGGAAGCTCCTTGAAGACAAGCCCTGAGGCGACCAAGCCCATTCAATGCCCTTTAACGTTCCTGGCTGGTCTCCTGGTATGGAGATGCTGCAGGTGTGGTGGGTACCGACAGTCCCCAGTGGCCAGAGCCACGATGGCATCAAGCTTCTTTTAAGCCCAGACACTCAGGGAAGACTCAGGGATCACCTCTACCCAGCACAGGGGAGCAGGGCTCGGTGCTGCCTCTGGCAGGCAGCAACAGGAGGATGCTGAGAACCTTTTTGGTTGGCTTGATGCGTCCCATTGCTTTTTGCAGCTGGTTTCCCAGTTATTACATGGTTTCATCTTTGAGGATGTGTTGTTTTCAATAAATTCACCTGAAATGTGATTTCTGCTTTACGCAGGGCACTGGAAGCGGTGCTGATCCTCCACGGGAAGGCTTGAAGATGCACCATTCAAGTCTAGAACCTCACTGGAGTATTTTCTCATCTATTTTTTCATTCTGACCGGTATGACAAGACAACAAATGTGGGTTTTTTATCCCCAGTGGGTTTTTTCCTCCCCAGTGGGGCTGGATGGAAGAGGAAAAGGTACCAGCAAGATGTAAATTTAAATCATCTCTCGATTAGAAACATGCTGAAGGAAGAGCAAAGATTCCCACGGCGATGATCTTTGGGATGCTCCACGCGTTTACGTTACCCATGATGGAGCAGAAACGGTGACTCCCATGGAAAGCCTTTTGCTTCCTTCAGATGGAGCTTTTACAGCAGAGCCTTTTGGAAAGCGCATTTGTGAGTGCAAGTTTCAGGGGTGACAAGGATTTTTGCCCCACTGCCCCTGGCCTTGCAGAGCCGGAGTTCGGTGGGAGGACTTTGCTGTGGCTGCCCATGAGGTGTCCCCATGCTGGGAGCTGGGTCTCACAGGGTGTGGATCTCCAGACGTGTCCTGATGTGTTTGGTGTTCATCTCAAGAGGTCGAACTTCCCCAGAGCTGCTCCTCCTGGTCCTATCTTGATGGCTGGGGCAGCCTCAACACTCACTTCAAGGGGTTCATCCACTGGACTGGGATAGAGGCAGGCTGCCCTGCCCTGAGCCAGATGAAGACCACTGAGATCCAGATCCTCTGTGCTCTGTTTGGAGAAGTTCCCCTACACCATGGAGTGTCCAAGTGGTGGAAAGGATCTTTCCATCATAGGGGTCTGCTGCCTCACAAGCTCCAGGCAGTGCTGCCGCAGCCTGCCCGCAGTGTCCCAGTGTCCCCAGGCCTGCCCATCCATGCTGCTCCTCGCTGGGATGCCAGCACAGGGCTGGGAAGCTGCTGCCAGGCCCAGCACAGATTCACCCAGGTCTCTCCATTGGGGAATTCTTCCTTTTTCTCTATGCTTTCATGACAAGGAACAGAGCAATTTCCTCCCACGGATCTGCCTGTGACCTGCACCAGCATTCCCCCATGTGATGGCTCGGATGCTGCCCCACATCCTGGCTGCCTTCGGACCCCAGTGACACAGTGGAGCCAGACCAGCTGCAGCTGATGCAGAAAGCACGGCTTCGCTTCACTTCCCAAATCCTCAGGGGCTCACTGCTTAAAATCCATACGTGGTTGTCCACAAACGAGCCCAAGGAAGGACCAGCCGCATTCCAGCAGCTTTAAGGTGAATGTTCGGGGCACGGGCTGCTGCTCAGGGATGGATTCATCACAAGTGGCCACAGCTCCTTTTCCATGCAGACACTATGCCAGAGCATCAAACCCTGCGGCTCTCCCAGCACGCAGCAGCCTGAGCAGCCTCTCACCAACAAGCGCTGCCAAAGGCTTCAGCCGCATCCCTGCAGCATCCTTCAGGACCACACAGCCAAAGGCCTCCCAGACAGAAACAAACCCACATCCGATCAGAGAAACCCATAAAGAACACATCATCATAGACCCCAGCACATTTGCTTGTCCCTGAGTCCATGCTGTAGTTTTCCCCTCTGCAAGTCAAGAAGAGAAAGCCAGGCTCATCCTAGCCATTCAAGCAGGACACCAGCCCAAGGGCCTCCCTGCCAGCCAGGACTGTGCCCATTGGGAGCATCACACAGCGAGTCACAAACTGAAAACACTGGGGGCAAAAAAACCCCACCAAACCCCTAAAACACCAAAGCCCACACCCCAAAGCAGCCCTCTGAACACCCACACCGTGCCGTGAAGCATCTACACAAGCACATGCGTGCACACACACAAGTTCTCAGTTTTTAAGCACCTTTTGGTTTGTTTTACGATTTGAGGAAGCTCCCAACCTCAGGGTAAAGGGGTTTTCTTGCTCTGGCAACACTGGGCAGGAGGTTTGGTATCAGGCCAGGGCTTGTGCTCACTGGTGGGGAGGAGAGGAGCATCGCAGGGCTTCTGCAGAGCTCAGGATGAACACACCTTTGCTGCAGCGTAGGTCACTGGTGGGTCGACAGTCTCTTTGCATGGGGTTGATAGGTGATTACTGGATGTTAATACACAACCAAGTGTGCCAACAACGGGGATGGGGGGGGTCTCAGGAGCTATGCTGTGGTAACTGCACTCCATTGACCTCCAGGACTCTGGATTAATCTCTTCATTAAAACGTTATTAATAATTTATTAATCCTTTATAAACATACTCTTGATATAAAGTGTGATACTAGTTCTGCTGCATGTCCTGGGCTGGCTGGGCACAGTGTGATGGAAGATGTCTCAGATTGGCATGGGAAGAAGAAAGGGGAAGAAACCAGTTTGCATTTGCTTCTGGAAACCAGGACGGAATAACAGCATCAGCTGTTTGAAATGGGTACTGGGGCCACGACAGCACTGAGCCCCTGGGAGCACGGCCAAGGGGCTCCAGCTCACAATGGATGAGCAGGATGCAGAAGGTTTCCATGATGGGGTTCTTCTATTGGGGTACCATTTGTGAGCAGACTGATGGGCATGGGAAGGCCTGGTAGGACAGACCTGGCAGGATCCAGCCTTGCTGCCCCCTCAGCCCTGGAGCTGCAGAGGGGGTGACAGCACTCCAGAGGGACCGGTGGCACCTCAGATGCAACGGAGAGCAGGCTGGCAGGCAGGTCATTGCTTGGCTTGTCCGCTTCCTGATGTCCATTTGGGCTAAAGAAAGGATGCTTCCTCTAACGCTGTTGCCCGATGGCCTCAGAGCGTGTCACCAGTGATGCGGGAAGGAGCAGCAGGGGAAGGCAGCACCTCATCCTGAGAGCCTGGGCTCAGCCCCTGCTGCTCTTCACAAGCACCTATGCCAGCATCCACGCTCCCAGTTCATACCAGGCATCAATTCAATGGGGGGGAAAGGCCTTTGATGTGAAGCCCAGGAAGCCAAAGGGTGTAAACGTTCCCGTTGAGACAAGGAGTCATCAGTCCGATGGGAAGACACCAGAAACAGGGCCATCTCCAGCGTGGTCTTAGGCTCAACGGCGAAGGCCGGTGACTGTGGCCGCAGCCCAGGCTCCCAGGTACAGAGCTGGGGCTGGTGCTCCTCAAAAGGGTTCATTTGAGTTTTAATCTCATTCAAAAATGAATAAATATCAGCTGTCTGAGGCTGGGCTCACCGCGATCCCTTCAGCCTCGGTCCAAAGCTGATACTGAGGGCTACACGATGGTGAATGGCAGAAACTCGTGTGAAATCAGCGTTCTGGGGGGCAGGGGAAAGGGGATGAGGGGTATTTCTTGTCTCAGAAGGTGGGAAGCCAGGCTGTGAGCTGGCTGTGAGCAGGACGGATGGCCAGAGCTTCCCCAGTGCATGGGTACAAACCAGTCCCTAAAGGGAATGAGTTGGGGAGGAAACAACAAAATTCAGCTGGTGCTGGAGCCAGTGAAAAGTCTGGGCCGTGTGGTTTGAAGGGCAGAATGAGTCCATCATGGGGAGGGCAGGGGTTTGCATTACAAACCAGTGCTGCTCACAACTGTCCCTTCCCATGGGAAAGGATGCACTTTTTAGCCAGGAGGGAAGACGTTCTCATTGCAGCTCCACCGCAGCAACCCTCTCACCCGGCCCCGCTGCCAGGGCCTGCCCCATCCTGTCTCTTAGCAGCCGCTCCCAGGTCCACCTTCACCCTTACTTCAGCCTCTTCCCTCGGGCCTCCTCTTCATCACCACCAGCTTCGACGTGCTTTTGCCACCTTGGGGAAGCTGCGCAGGTCCCTGCCTTGATCCCCTCCCAGGGACTGAGCAGCCGATGCTCCTTGGCTTATATCCCTTCCAAGGAAAAAGGTACACAGGGAAACACATCCATACAGGTGGATGTGTGTTTATAGCTGTGATTCAGGCAGATGAGCGGCTCCAGGAGGACCAGGCAGGACCACCAGCCATGGTGATGCTACCGCCGGCACTGGGCTGGACGCCGGCCCCGCAGCGCGGTGGTCGAGGACTCTGGTGAGGTGCAGGGGTGGTGCTTTGGTTCCTGAGATTGCTTTAAGGTTGTCTTTAAAAAACACCATGAGGCACCACGAGCTGCCCAATGACCCTGCCAAGGCTTCCACCAGCGCTTCCCCGTGGCAAGGGCCGGCAGTGGGGCCTTATCACTGTAAAAGTGTAGGTAAGAAACTGAGGAGGGAGGGGGGTCCTTGCTGGTTTCAGGGGGAAGGAAGCATTATGTAGTGTCATCGATGAGATTGTCCTAAAAAATCCCAATTCTTGTTGCTTCATTGCTCTTTTCACGGTGTCTCTGCTTGTGACATCCCGGTCTGGCTACACGCGGAGTCATGACACCCGGGAGAAAGGCACTGATGTCACAGGCTCATCAGGACAAACAGGCTTCGACGCGGGGGATCCCACCAGGAATACCCAATTCCCATGTGGAGGCTGGCACGGCTGCGAGGTGGAGCGGACAACCCGGCCCTCCATGCTGGAGCTGCGGCGCTGCGGGTGAAGGGCGCGGGGAGGAAGATGAGGAAGATGCTGAGTGGAGGCCTGGGTGTGCAGAGGGATGCGTGTGAGGAGGGCACGGAGTGGTGCCGGTGCCGGGCGTCCCGGTGAGGTCAGTAGTTGCAGTGGCGCTGGCAGGGCTGGTGGACGAAGGTGCCGATGTGCTGCTTGGCGCGGCGCAGCGGGCGCTGGCAGGCGCGGTTCTGCCGCTGCAGCGCCTTCTGGCTCAGGCGGTGCTTGTCGGCCAGCTGCTTGGCGCGCTGCACCCGCCGCGCCTGGCCCACCTTCTCCAGGATGGCAGCTTTCACCGAGAGGGACCGGCTGTGGTGCGGAACGTACCGCTCCAGCCGCGGCTCCGGCACCTCCCTGCGGGGAAAGGGGCAGTCAATGGAAACCCAGCATTGATGCTCCATCATCCCCCCACCATGGACCCTGCCACCTCCCGCCCCAGCCAGGATAAATCCAGACACCACCGGGAATGGGGGCATCCATCCCCACCCTCCTCACACTGGCCAATTCCTCTAAGCCCAACAATTTCTAAGTCCCCGTTTCCATCCCATTTGGGTCTCCCAGCCCTTTTCTACCCCCCCTTTCTGTACCCTCCCGCACTGAGGTTACTCTGAAGCTCTTGAGATCAAGCTGTGGCCCCCCAGGAGACTGTGCAAAGAGAGAAGTTCTGGAGGAAAGGTGTCCCCAGGCCTGAGGGAGGTTCACCCTGAGTTATCCCTCCTCCTCTGCCCTAGTGAGGGGGTTCTGGGGGAGATACTGGAGGCCTGGGGGGCTCTGGGGACCCCACAGTCACTGACAGCAGCATGGCCAAGGCAGCATCAGCACAGGTGGCCATCCCAGGAGACCCTGCTTGGGGCAATGGAGGGGAACGCAGCCCCTCTCCACTGAGCACAGCGATGAGCTCCTGATCCAGCACCCACAGCCACCTCACCACGGCATTGAGACCCCCTTAGCAGGGCATTTCAGGACGCAGAGGCTGCCATCCTTGCACAGAGGCACCCTGACAGACATGCAGGGTGTCCCTAAGGTGGGATGTGGGGACACTGAGGTCCCCCACAGCCCCACTCCATCTGTGACCAGAGCACTCCCCATCATACACAGCGATGTGGGATGCCAGTATGGACCGCCCATCCCGGTCCCCTGGTGCCAGCATCCCCAGGTGAGCACCCTCAAGCTATACTCACTCAGCAGCATCCTCCTCAGGGCCCTCCCCGTCCACCTCGAGGGTGCTGGTGACATACACAGACATGCTGGGGTGCTCGATGAGCAGGTCCTCCATGGGGCTGCTCCCCACGCCGTCGGGGCCGGGCCCCTCTGCAGTAAAACAGGGGGGAGGGGTGACAAACCAACTCTCGTCCATCAAGCAGGGACCGGCTGGAGCCGGGGCAGGGGCCGGAGGTGGTGACGGACCGGGGGGAGCCGGGCGGGACCGCGCCGAGCGCCCGGTGCCGCCAGCACCCACTCTCCGGGCTGCGCCGGGGCGGGCACGGGTGCCTGGGGGCGGCGGGGGTGCAGAGCCATGCGGGGCACAGCGGGGACACACACACATACCATGTACAGTGGGGAGGGGAGGGGAGGGGGGAGAGAAAGGGGCATCGTTAGTGCAAGAGACACCCCACCCGCTACCGACCGGCTCGGTGTCAACGGGGCCTCATGGACAGGGGAGACAGCAGCGGTGCCCCCACTGCACCCCAACTGGCACCCTCAGCACTGGGGCGGCTGCTGGTGCTGTGGGGAGCGGAATGGGAATCCTAGAATCAGAGAATCAAACACAGACTGGTTTGGGTTCAAGGGACCTTAGAGCTCATCCAGCTCCAGCCCCTGCCACGGACTGGGACCCCTTCCACTGGAGCAGTTTGCTCCAAGCCCCTGTGTCCAACCTGGCCTTGAACACTGCCAGGGATGGGGCAGCCACAGCTTCTCTGGGCACCCTAAAATCCAATCTAAACCTCCCCTCTTTCACCCTGAAGTCTTCACCCCTGGTCCTGTCACTACGTGTCTTTGGGAAAAGTCCCTCTCCAGGTTTTTTGGTGAAACGGTTCTGTTGAGGCAGTTTAACAAAAAACAGGGGGAAAGCAGCAGGGTTTCACTGCAGCGATTTCATTTTCATAGAATTCTAGAAGAGTTCGGGTTGGAAAGGACCTTGAGATCATCCAGTTCCAACCCCTCTGCCATGAGCAGGGACACCTCACACTAAACCCTGACACCCAAGGCTCTGTCCAACCTGGCCTTGAACACCACAAGGGATGGAGCATTCACAACTTCCCTGGGCAACCCATTCCAGTGCCTCACCACCCTCACAGGAAAGAATTTCCTCCTTATATCCAATCTAAACTTCCCCTGTTTAAGTTTTAACCCATTACCCCTTGTCCTATCACTACAGTCCCTATTGAAGAGTCCATCCCCAGCATCCCTATAGGCCCCCTTCAGATACTGGAAGGCTGCTATGAGGTCTCCACGCAGCCTTCTCTTCTCCAGGCTGAACAGCCCCAACTTTCTCAGCCTGGCTCCATACTGGAGGTGCTCCAGCCCCTGACCATCCTTGTGGCCCTTCTCTGGACTTGTTCCAACAGTTCCGTGTCCTTTTTCTGTTGAGGACACCAGAGCTGCACACAATGCTCCAAGTGAGGTCTCCTGAGAGCAGAGCAGAGGGGCAGGATCACCTCCTTGGACCTGCTGGTCACGCTCCCTTGGATGCAGCCTAGGATACGGTTGGCTGCCTGGGTTAATTTTACCCCTTCACAAAGTGAAGGAGAAATTCAGCCAGCACAAACGCTGCTTCAGCCTGTTCTTATGGCCCTGGGACCAGGCAGTGCCACCCAGGAGGAGCGCCGGCCTGCCTGCACTCACAAACACCTCCCAGCACTCTGCAGACATGGAAACCAAGCACACACACAGGAAAACACAGCTCACACCTTGTCTTCTGGAAGGAAACAGGGGAATACATTGTTCAGCAAGGGTTCTCCCCACCCCTTCAGCTTCAGTCCATTAGAGGCCAAAGTTGGAGTGGGTGATCCAGGAGCTGACCCAGCTTCCCTTTACCTTCCCTTCCTCACCTCCGCCTGGCAAAAGCACTTGGGCTGGTGCCTGTCTGGGCTGCCTGTGCTTGGAGTCACTGGTTGGGTTAGAGGAAGGGAGCCTGCACCTAACGCTGGGCTCATGAGGGTATCCAGAGCTGTTCCCAGCCTCATCAGGGGATGTCAAGGAACATGGTCTCAGGGAGCAGGGGGGACACAGTGTAGTATATCTATGGACACATATGACCCCGCAGTTAGGTGAGGGTGCAGGGCATGGAACTGTTGGAACAAGTCCAGAGGAGGCCATGAGGATGATCAGGGACTGGAGCACCTCCTGTATGGAGCCAGGCTGAGAAAGTTGGGGCTGTTCAGCCTGGAGAAGAGAAGGCTGCGTGGAGACCTCATAGCAGCCTTCCAGTTTCTGAAGGGGGCCTGTAGGGATGCTGGGGATGGACTCTTCAATAGGGACTGTAGTGATAGGACAAGGGGTAACGGGTTAAAACTGAAACAGGGGAAGTTTAGATTGGATATAAGGAGGAAATTCTTTCCTGTGAGGGTGGTGAGGCACTGGAATGGGTTGCCCAGGGAAGTTGTGAATGCTCCATCCCTTGTGGTGTTCAAGGCCAGGTTGGACAGAGCCTTGGGTGGCAGGGTTTAGTGGGAGGTGTCCCTGCCCATGGCAGGGGGGTTGGAACTGGATGATGGTAAGGTCCTTTCCAACACAAACTATTCTATGATCTATGACAAATCAGAGGTCAATCATAGGATCACAGAATGGTTTGGTTTGGAAAGAACCCTAAAGCTCATCCAGTTCCAACCCCCGGCCACAGACAGGAACACCTCCCACTACAGCAGGTTGCTCCAAGCCCCGTCCAACCTGACAGGGATGGGGCAGCCACAGCTTCTCTGGGCAATGAATGTGTTCTTATGGTGGAGAAACAGAGTGCAGGAAGCACGGGGCCACCATTCCCCACCCGCATGTCCCCAGCTCCTCCCACGGACGATGCCCCAGCCCGGGGCTTAGGGCAGGCCACAATTAGCCTTGCGAACACGAGAGCATCTTTCCTCGGGTCAGTGGATATCAAGCTATTAATAGTTGTTGGCATGTCGATTATTTGTCAGCCTGGAGACAGCCATCGAGCCCAGCTGGAGCATTCTTGGTCCTGCAACAGGGGAGCAGGGGACCCAGCACAGCTGAACCCTGCCCCACCACCCCTGGGAACCCAACCCCATCCTTTGCCAAGGCAGGTTTCAATGTCACAGGGAATATTTTGGGATCCCAAAATCCCTGCAGCCTTACTTCTAAGCACCGGTCATTGCTCTGTGCCTGGGTGCTGAGTAGAACCAGGCTGGGTGATGGGACAAGAGGAGCATCCAAAATACTCCTGGGATCTCTGGTTAATTCAGGTGCGTTTTGCAACACACGGGTCAAAGACCTGGCTGGGAGGGAATGAGGTTGGAGGCCCAGCAGGCTGGGAGAGAGCCAGGCTGAGATGCTCATCAGCTGCTGTGGCTCAAAGGTGAAGGATGAGGCTGGAGCCAGCGGGTTCGGTTGTAAAGTGCTCTGCGTAACTCCAGCCTCAGAACTAGGGCTGGAATAAATCATTCCATCACCAGCCATGGAACGCTGCGGGGAAGAGGCAGCGGCAGGGCTGGTGGGGATCAGCAGTGGGGTGGCACGGCCCAGGCAGTCACTGCTGAGAGGCAGCTCTGCATGGAGAGCGTGGCGGCTTGGCTGGGAAAGAGAAGGGAGCCTTTTGTCCCAGAGCCATCCCCGTGTCCCTGCTGGGCTGGCTGCAGTCTCGGACCCAGGGGATCAGGGCACAGCCCAGCTTTCTCTGTCTGGGGAAGCTCCTGGCTCCTTCTGGCGTGCTTTGGGCACGCTGCAGCCGTTGCCAGCTGGCCCAGGCAGGAGGCAGATGCGTGCGAGTGCTTCCAGGGACCTCCTTCCAACCCTCCTCCTCCTGTGTCACTGCTGTGACCCCCCCAGAGGACAGGGAATCCTCGGTGGTGCCTGTGCCCACACCACCCATCCACCTCCACCAGCCCCCCACACTGCTCCCAGCAGGCATAGGGCTGTTCCTATCCCCCATCCCAGGCTCACCCATGCTCTGGTCCCCTCTCCATCTCACTGCATGGGCAAAACCCTAACAAATGACTTGTATCATGAAAACCAGCTCTGCTCAGTGAACAGGGGACAGGAGCATCTGATGGGTGAACAGATGCCTGCAAGAGGGAGGACAAAACCCTTCTCCTAAACCTGCAGGACACATTTATGGTCCCTTTGGCTGGCACACCACAACCAACCATAGGCTGCAAAAGCAGACTGTGACCATTGAGGATCTCCTGCACAGGCAGGCTTCTTTGTGTAAGTTTGCTGCTCGATTTGCAAGCAAAAGGTCATAAAATCATCACTGCACTCGGTTGAGTCATCAACCCTACAATAGAAATGCCAAGGTCTTAATAGAGCTGGAGAAGCTCTGCACACAAGGAATTTGATCCGCTTGGTTGCTGTCAAAGGGGACTCAGGGTGGTTGCTGCCATCCCTGGGAACAGGGAGCCCCTGAGACTTCGTGCCAAACATCCCTTGTTTGAGTGCTGCTGGAATGGGCGCTGGGAATGATTTGAGAAGCCCTCTGGAGTTGATATTTGCTCCCCCAGTGCACTCAAATAACCCAAATGTGCCCAGTTTGCTGCAGCACATCCCCAGCTGGAGCCCCACGGTCCCCACCAGCACCCTGGGAGCAGGGTTTTCCTTTGGGAACAGGCTCCCAGCTTGGGTTTGACATGGCCATTGTGAGGAGAGGCCAAGCCCAGCTCCTCAAGGCAAAGTGCTGCCCACAGCAACAGGTCAGGAGCTGCTACAGCAACCACAGGGCTGGGCGACCCCAGGAAGAGGGATGCACAGAGCTGAGCACACGTGGTGGAAGCTCCTCTGCTGTCATCTCCAAAGGTTTTCCCAGCTCCAGAGAGCCACGGTGCAGCAGAGGCTGTGGGAAGCCAGACCCCGCTGCTTTCCTCACCTGCAAGGTCAATTATGAGCCAGCCATCCTCCTCCTCCTCCTCCTCCACAAAGGGTTTGGGCTCCTCAAGGCCTTCTGGAGTGCTGCTGTCACTGAAGAAGAGGCTGGTGAGGCGCTGAAACATGGTGGGGAGCGGTCCCAAAGGATGGATGGCGACTTAGGGTGCTGCTGAGCACTGCCTTTCAGACGTGGAAATGGGAGTGGTGGGTAGTGAGGGTTAAAACCAGCACTGGAGGTCTCAGTGGTGATGGAGATACTCTGCTGCTAGGGAGCTCGTAGCTGGGTTAAGTGGTGTGCAGTGCAGTTCTGAGGTTCTTCACTTGGCTTCAGTGCAAAAGGCCTGTAAGAGGGTAAGGAAAAGGAATCATGCATGTGGAGCGGTTGTCAGCGCGGCTGTCCTGCATCCCTGGGGCTCAGATGGGCTGCAGGGCTGGGTGCCTGCACCCCACACAGAGCCCCACATTCCATCCCCTTCCTCATGAGCAGTGTGTCCCAGGGGACCCGTCTGCTGGCCAAACACATCACTGCTTTATCCCTGGGGACACACATCCCTGCCCAGCTCAGGGGGACGTCTGGAGTCACTGTAGAGCTCCCAGTGGCACAGACAGGGGGCAGGCACAGGGTGCAGCGTGTTATTTGTGCAGAGAAAACGCTTTTTGGTCCAGAGACATTATGGCCAATGGTCCAGGTGACAAGATGCCATCAAGAACCAGATGCAGGGAGAGGGCAGAGCTGTGTGCTGCCTTGACTGGCCCACTGCCTTGGGTGCATTCAGAGGGCAAAACCCCTGCCATGGCTCTGTCAACCATGGTGATGTAGAGCCTGCAAGAGGCTCCGGACCCTGGTGAAGCTCCAGCTGCTCTGGGCAATATGGGGATTGCTCAGCCTGGAGAAGAGAAGGCTGCGTGGAGACCTCATAGCAGCCTTCCAGTATCTGAAGGAGGCATATAAGGATGCTGGGGATGGACTCTTCATTAGGGGCTGTACTGATAGGACAAGGGGTAACGGGTTAAAACTGAAACAGGGGAAGTTTAGATTGGATATAAGGAAGAAGTTCTTTCCTGTGAGGGTGGTGAGGCACTGGAATGGGTTGCGCAGGGAGGTTGTGAATGCTCCATCCCTGGAGGTGTTCAAGGCCAGGTTGGACAGAGCCTTGGGAGACAGGGTTTAGTGTGAGGTGTCCCTGCCCATGGCAGGGGGTTGGAACTGGATGATCTCAAGGTCCTTTCCAACATGAACTCTTCTAGGATTCTATGAACAGGAAGGGTGCAGGGAGGTGCAGGGCAGACCCCACAGCTACAGCCATGGCTCCAGATCCCAGTGCTCAGGGATCCGGGGTCCCCACTCCCTGCGGGACAGCAGCCCCCCCACTGCCATGGCTCATCCTTCCACTCCTCACACCCTGCATCCAGATCCAAGCTGGGAGGCTGCATTCAAAACAGACTTGGCTGAGACTCGCAGAGCCCTCACCACAATGAGGGTTCCCTGCTCTGTGTCCTGTGAAGGTTCCTGGCTTCCCCTGTGGGCACCAAGCAGAGGGGTTTGGGGCACTGAGATGTGACAGGGTCATTTCCTCTGCCTGCAGTGAGAACAGCAGGCTCAGCTAAGGCAGCTCTCACCTCCCAATCCCCCATCACCACCACATCTGTAGCAAAGCCATGGCCTTTCTGTTATCCTCCAGCACACCCAAGGATTAAACTATCCAGACCTGCCCTTCTCTGGAGCATTGAAACACACTAGTACAAGACAGGGAAGCAACATGAATTGGGGATGATACCCAGCTGGGCAATGAACAGAAACTGGCCCATTGGGCTCTCTGGTGTACTCTGCGCTGAGCACAGCAGGGATTTCCCTCCCATAGGATCCATGTGTGCATCCATCCTTCCCAGGGCCAGGCTGGCAAAGCTCACCCAGGGCAGCCCTGAAGGCTGCATTAAACACCAGCTCTCTCTGCCTGCAGCAGTTGCCTATTAAGTAGCTGTCCTGTAATATTATATTAATACATTTATTAAGTGTATAACTGTGGCAGAAACCCCATTGCTCCAGGTACCTGCTGGTGATGTCCCCGGGCAGGAGGGAGAGGGGCAGGATGCACCCAGCAGCCCATAGCAGGCATAGGGGAGCTCCATCTCCCAAGGGCCACCGTGTCCCTGTCCCAGTGCAAAGCCAGGAGCAGGTTCTTGTGTTTTCCAAGCTGGAGCAGCTCTGCCTGCAGCATTCCAAGGCTCAGTGCCACCGTGCAGCTCCGCAGGGTGACACACGAGGGTAAAGGGGGCTGGTGACAGCACAGAGGGGACAGGAGGAGGCTGTGGCTCCAGCCTGGCTGCAAGGGGAGGGTCAGCCAGGGGAGCACCCAAGCAGCTCCCCCAGGCTGGGGTCTGAATTAGTTGGGGATGTTCCCCCTGAACGAGCTCGCTGCCCTCCTGCTGGCTCAGCCCTGCTGAAGCGCCCTGTCTGGATGGTACCCGAGCGCTCCCCTCCGCTCTGCTTGGCAAGCCCCCAGCAAGGAGCGCATCCTCGAGTGAGTTCAAAGCCAGGAGATCACACAGAATGGAGAGCAGAAACCCTCTCGTCTTTACTCTGTTAGAACGTGACAAAGGCTTTCAGTGCACAGGAGCAAAGCCGGTGTTTGTCCTCCCCTTCTGCTCCCCTCAGGAGCAGCACCAATTCCCCCAGCACCCACCTGCTTAGAGACTTAGTCCCCCCAACCATCACAGGGTGCAGCAATAGGAATGGCTGGAGCTGAAGTGTCTGGGCTCCACAGGTGCCCACCCTAACCTGCAGGCAGCTTCCCTGAAGACACACGACACAGCAGATACTGTTAGTTTCAATTGTCCCATCTCCATATTTAACTTCATTCTCCTTATTTATGTAATTAAAGGGTTTGGGATAACCACACTCCCCTCACAGTAATGGGCTGTCGGGGGCCATCCTGCTGCAGAGCAAACCCACAGTGTGACACGAAGCTGTCATCGCTCTAGGGACAGCAGGAATGAGCTTAAAGCTCCCCCAGGAGCCAAAGTTGAGATGGATCATTTTAAAGGATCATTCCCCGAAGACTTTAAATAAGCCATCAGCAATTCCCCATTCCATGCCAGGGAACGTAGGCACTGGGGTCCATGCTCCACCAGGCTAAGCGGACAGGGCAGATCTTGCAGGATCATCCCCTTGGATGAACCAAGCCTGCCTCACCCCATAAGCTCCCATTGCCTAAGGGACATTGTGATCCTACACAGGACCCTGGGGGGGGGGCGGTTTGCTGTGAGAGTAACCATGGCTCTGTGGCAGCGTGGCCAGGGCTGGCAAAGCCAGGGTGCTGAACCCTGATCCTGATGGAATAGCTGCCAGGGCTGCTTGGCCACACTGTGCCTTGGGACAGCCAGCACCAGCAGACAGCCTCATGGGGAGAGCAAAGGCTTCCCAGGAGCTGGAGCAGGGCTGGCTCTGGCTGAGCTTGGGCAAAGCCTTCAGGATCAAACCTGCAGGTGGAGGCAGGAGCCTGATCCTGGCAAGCGAGGGCCAAAACGAGCTTTAGTCCTCACCTTCTTCCTGCCTGCTCTGGCATCCTCGGCAGCGCTGGGTTCAAGGGGCAGGATCAGGCTCTTTATTGCCAAGGTGCACCCTCAGCAAGCTTGTGAAGGACACCAGCAGTCAGGTGCCATCCAGAGGGACCTTGTTAAGCTGGAGAAGTGGCCCCCTCCCAGGCCACTGCCAGCACAAGGGGATACCCCAAGAGATCACACTTGACTTGAGGACAGAGCAGTTTCTTACTTAAGTTTCTCAGGATCCCTCCAGAAAGTCCAACAGCCTTTTAAAACCAGCCCCAGGGTATTAAATATTAGCAGTAAGGAGACCAGAATGCATCGAGTTATTTTCTTCCCCCCTTCAGAAACCTTGACACAATAATTAGTTTTCTGAGTCACCATCACTACAAATAACCCCAGGAGCTAAGAATAGGTGAAAGGCTGGGCAGGATATGCCAAGAGCTTGCCGGGGCAGGAGCCACAGCCTTGCAGGACTGGCAGCTCCCAAAAGTCACCGGCTGCAAGGACAACAGCAGCTCCGCTTGGAAATGGCAACAGGCTCCCTGAACCTTTCCATAAATACGTGGTGGCGGGAGGGATGCTGCTGACAAGTGGCAGGAGCGGGTCCTTCCTCGGCAGGGCTAAGAATACCGCAACACAGTCATCCCGGTAGGCGTTGGAGGTAGAAATCAGGTGCCTTCCTCCAGCCCACTCGGGAAACGGAATTTTCAACCCATTTTACCTAAATTAGACAAATGTTTCACAGGCTGCTCTCACAGAATCCTAAACCTGGCACAGAGCAATGGAGCAGGGGGTCTGGGAGCTCCACAGCCTGCTCATCACCCAAACACGACCAGTGAAGCATCCCTCTGCTGTCCTCTGTCCATCTCCATCAAGGAAGGGACCAGAGGTGGCAAGAGGCCTGCCCAGGACAGTTCAGTGAGGCTGGGTAAATGCATTTGGTCACTCAACAACTGCACTATAGCTCCTGCTGATCCCACTGCTTCACCTCATTCACAGGGCTCCCTGGGGAAGCTGCTGCTGGCATGGACAGACTGAGTCCAGCAAATCAGAGGTTGATCCACAGGCAGAGCCTCTTGCACCACAGAGCAGGGAAGTGGAGGGGGGAGAAGGTAGAGAGCGGTTAGAACCCCCCCCACAAAAAAAACCCCACATCTTTATCAAGAGGCTCTTCTCCTCAATAGCAGATAAAGCCAGCACCTGAAGGGCTTACCTTGGCTAAGTCCAGCAGCTCAGTGTGGACTGGAGTCCCCATGAGCTCCCACCTTAAGGAGGAGGACGTTGGGGGTCTTTTCCTGGTGCTGGTGTCCCCACGTGCACCGGCTCCCCTGTGTAACCACTGCAGGAAGGTCCTTGCCCCAAGGACAAACCCAACCTCCTGCTATTTGATGTCGTCACACAGAACCCTGGAAAATCTGGCAGCGGCCGCAGGATCTGAGCTGCCCTATGAGATTTTAAGAGTCTCCTCTCTGGGATGCTGCAGGTGAAACATCCCAAGGGCCATGCTCATCAAGAGGGGAGCAGCCCCAACATCACACCCTCCATAACTCACAGAAGGCTGAATGCTAACTGCCAAGTTGGACTTTGATCCCGCAGGAACCCCGAGCTCCCCACCAGTTCTTCCTGAGCCTGCCCAGGGCCACGTGTACACTGGGGTGAGACTTGCCTGTGCAGGGCTCATGGAGCAGCTCATGCTAAAAAGCTCTTGGATAAGAGTTCACATCTCAGGTTTTTCCAGTCCTGCTACGAGCAGGTGTTATCAGTTTATCCTTGTATAGTCCATTATGTTTTCCCT